GTACGCTGTTTGTGGGAATGTAAATTAGTACACACGCTAGGCAAAACTGTTAGAGGTTCCTTTAAAAGGTAAGAGGTCAAAGTACAACTGCCACTTCAGGTAGCAATCCCACCACTGGGTACACATTTAGAGAAAATGAAATCCCTGTGTTGAAGAGGTATCTGCCTTCCCGTGTGTCTTAAAGTGCTAGTCACAATAGCCAAGATATGAAATCAATCAACCTGGAGTTTATGAAGGAACTGGCATAAACTCCAATCCTGTGGGACATCATGGACAGGAACTAAATTTGAATCAACAGAGTAGAGCCCTTAACATTGAAAGAGTTGATGGTGAAAGATCTGAGGCTTCAGGACTCTGACATATGTAAATAAGAGCACGAAATGAAGTCTTTATTGGGGAACATCTATCCAGAATATCTTATGCTTGGGCTGTGGCCATGGGTAATTTAAGTAAACCCACTCTAAAAGACTGGTTTCCCACATTGAGATTTCAGTTAACAATGGTTCACGGGAAAAATGGAAGAGTTCAGGGCTCAATTTGTGAGCTGGAACAGGATCAAAGGCTATTAAATACTAACAGGGTTGTAAGTCAGGCTGTGGAGCATGATTAAAATATTGCAAATGACGAGGACATTGGAGTCTTGCATTCAACTTACAACTGATAGAATAACAAATAAGTATAACGAATACACTCTTCTAGAGTCCAAATCAGCCAAAAATAATTTTCAGTATTCAAGAACTAAAAAGCAAACAGTTTGCTCAAACACTCATGAGCACTGTTTCTCCTCACAGATTTGTGCTCTTTCTCATTGCTGGGATGCCTGTCTGGTTGTAGATTGAGGAACGTCTTTTTACGTTCTGCAATTTTTACGTCAGACAAAACAGACTTTAAAGCAGCAACAATTACAACAGTTATAAAAGATAAAGAAAGACATCATATGATGATTAAAGGATCAGTCCAACAGAACAATATCACAATCATAAATATATATGCATCTAATACTGGAGCTCCCAAATTTATAAAACAATTATTACTAGACCTAAGAGATGAGAGAGATGACAACACAGTCATAGTAGGGGACTTCAATACTCCACTGACAGCACTAGCCAGGTCATCAAGACAGAAAGGAAATAAAGAAACCATGGACTTAAACTAGATCAAATGGACTTAACACTTACATAACATTCTGCCCAACAACTTCAGAATATACCACATTTGCATCAGCACATGGAACATTCTCCAAGACAAATCATATGATAGGCCACAAAGCAAGTCTCAATAAATTTACAAAAACTGTAATTATATTAAGTACCCTTTCAGACCACCATGGAATAAAACTGGAAATTAACTTCAAAAGGAATCCTTCAAACTATACAAGTACATGAAAATCGAATAAGCTCCTCCTGAATGACCTTTGGATCAACAATGAAATGAAGAAGGAAATGAAAAAATTGTTTGAAATGAACAATCATAGAGACATAACCTATTAAAACTTCTGGGAGACAGGAAAACTAAGAGGAAAGTTCATAGCATCAAACAGTCTGAAAGAGCATGAACAGGCAATCTAAGGTCACACCTCAAGAAGCTAGGGAAACAAGAACCAACCTAACCCAAACCCAGAAGAAGAAAAGAAATAACAAAGATCAGAGCAGAACTAATGATTGAAACAAAAAATAAAAAAGATAAATGAAACAAAAACTGGTTCTTTGAAGAGACAGACAAAATTGACAGACCATTAGTGAGATTAACTGAGAAAAAAGAGAGAAGATCCAAATAAACTCAATTAGAAATGAAATGAAAAATATCACAATACCACAGAAAAACAAAAGATATTCAAGGCTACAATGAACACACTTATGCATACAAACTAGAAAAATCTTGAGGAGACAGATGAATTCCTGGAAATACACAACCCTCCTGCATTAAATCACAAATAAATAGAAACTCTGGGCTGGTCACAGTGGCTCATACCTGTAATCCCCGCACTTCAGGAGACTGAGGTGGGCAGATCACTTAAGGCCAGGGGTTTGAGCTCAGCCTGGCCAACATGATAAACCCTCGTCTCTACCAAAAATGCAAAAAATTAGCTGGGTGTGGTGGTGCACACTTTAATCCCATCTACTCAGGAGGCTGACGCAGGAGACTCACTTGAGCTTAAGGCAGAGGTTGCAGTGAGCTCAGATTAGCCACTGTACTCCAGCCTGGGCAACAGAGTGAGACCCTGTCAAAAAAAACAAAAAGAAAGAAAGAAGCTGAACAGACTGGTAACAAGTAGTGAGACTGAAACAGTAGTAAAAAAATAGCCAACAATAAATATATCCAGGACCAGATGGATTCATTGCTGAATTCTATCAGGCGGTCAAAGAAGAATTGGTACCAATCTTCCTAAAACTATTTCAAAAGATAAAGAAAGAGGAAATCCTCCGTAAATCATTCTATGAAGCCAGTACCACCCTAAGACCAAAACCAGGAAAGAACATAACACAAAAAAGAAAACTACATACCAATAGTTCAGACTTGTAGGTCTATAGACCCTGATGAACATTCAGATGCAAAAAATCTTCCACAAAAGATTAGCTGAGTCCTACATTATATCAAAAAGATAATACATCACGATCACGTGGGTTTAACACTAGGGATGAAGGGATGGTTTAACATATGCAAGTCAATAAATGTAATTAATCACATAAAAAGAATTAAAAATTTAAAAGTATGATCAATTGAATTGATGCCAAAAAATTTGGACAAAATCCAGTATCCATATATGATTAAAACCCTCAGAAAAACTAGCATAGAAGGGACATACCTCAAGATAATAGAAGCCATCTATGACAAACCCATAGTCAACATTATACTGGACAGAGAAAGTCAAAAGCGTTCCCCCTAATAAGTAATAACTGGAACAAACAAAGAATGTCCGCTTTCACCTCTTCTACTCAACATTGTACTGGAAGTTTTAGCCACAGCAATTAGACAAGAGAAACAAATAAAGGCATCTAAATAGGTAAAGAGGAAGTCAAACTGTTGCTTTTCACTGTTGATATGATTGTATACACTGTTGATATGACTGTATACATAGAAAACCCTAAACACTCATCCAAAAAGTTCTTAGATCTGATAAACGAATTCAGTAAAGTTTCAGGATACAAAATCAATGTACGCAAATCAGTAGCACTGTTATACACCTACAATGACCAAGCTGAGAATCAAATCAAGAACTCAACCTCTTTTACAATAGCTGCAAAAATAAAATACTTAGGAATATACCTAAACAAGGAGATGAAAAATCTCTAAAAGGAAAACTATGAGACACTGCTGAAAGAGATCATACACAACACAAACACGTGCAAACACCTGCTATGCTCATTGATGGGTAGAATCAATATTGTGAAAACGACCATACTGCTTAAAGCAATATACAAATTCAATGCAATTCCCATCAAGATATCATCATTGTTCTTCACAGTACTAGAAAAAACAGTCCTAAAATTTATATGGAACCAAAAAAAGCCCATGTAGCCAAAGCAAGACTAAACAAACAAACAAACAAAGCAAATAGCAAGCAAGCAAACAAAAAAACAAATCTGAAAGCATCGCATTACCCACTGCAAACTATATTACAAGGCTAGAGTTACCAAAACAGCATGGTATTGTTATAAAAATAGGCACATAGACAAACGGAACAGAGCAGAGAACCAGACATAAAACCAAATACTTATAGTCAACTGAACTTTGACCAAGCAAATACACACATAAAGGGGGGAAAGGACACTATATTCAACAAATGGTACTAGATAATTTGTAAATCACATGTAGAAGAAAAAAGCTGGATCCTCATCTCTCACTTTTTACAAAAATCAACTAAGAATAATCAAAGATTTAAATCTAAGCCCTGAAACCATAAAAATTCTAGAGTATAGCATTAGAAAAATTATTCTAGTCATTGACTTAGGCAAAGATTTCATGACCAAGAACTCAAAAGTGAATGGAACAGAAACAAAGATAAGTAGATAGGACTAAATTAAGCTAGAAAGCTTCTTCACAGAAAAAGAAATAATAAGCAAATAGATGACCCACAGATTGGGAGGAAATATTTGCACACTTTTCATCTGACGAAGGACTAATATCCAGATTCTATGAGGAACTCAAACAAACCAGCAAGAATAAGCAATCACATCAAAAAGTGGGCAAAGGACATGAATAGACAATTTTCAAAAGAAGATATACAAATGACCAATAAACAAATGAAAACATGCTCAACATCACTAATCATCAGGGAACTGCACATCAAGACCACAATCAGACACCACCTTACTCCTGCAAAAATGGCCACAATTAAGAAAATTTTAAAAATGGCAGATGTTGCCATGGATATGATGTAAAGGGAGCACTTCTACACTGCTGGTGGGAACGTAAACTAGTACAACCACTATGGAAAACAGTATGGTGATTTCTTAAAGATCTAAAAATAGAACTACTATTTCATTCAGTAATCCCACTACTGGGTTTACTAGAGGAAATATACCAAGAGGATACATACCTAGAGGTATATACCTAGAGGAAAATACATTATTAAATAAAAAAGATACTTGCACACATGTTTACAGCAGCACAGTTTGCAATTGCAAAAACATGGAACCAGCATAAATGCCTATTAACCAATGAGTGAATAAAGAAAATGTGCGTCGGTAGAGGCAGGAGGAGGAGGTTGGGTTATAGAAGCTGAAGTGGCCGGCAGCGCGCTCATCGGTGCTCTCGGGCTTTGTCGGTCCGTGCCTTATCTCTCCCTGGAAAGGGAGGGAGGCTTCGACGTAGACAGGGAGCCGCTGCTGCCATTGTTCTGAGCTTGAAGTCACTAGGACTTCTCTCAAACTTGTGTGCTGAGGAGACTTAGATGTGGTCCTCAGCTCCTAGGGTGAAATCAGCAGATCGGCCCATGAAAACTTCTGTATTGAGACAAAGGAAAGAATCTGTCAGAAAGCAACACTTGTTATCTTGGGCTTGGCAGTAAGGAAGAGGACAGGTATTGGAAATCCTGCATTCTGAAAAGCAGACTGAAAGGTGACAAAGAAGCTGAAGATGGGTGGTGAAGACAGGTATAACATTCCAGCGCCTCAATCTAGAAGTGTTAGTAAGAACCAACAACAGCTTAGCAGACAAAAGACCAAGGATCAGAATTCCCAGATGAAGATTGTTCATAAGAAAAAAGAAAGAGGTAAGAACAACAACAGCTTAACAGACAGAAGACCAAGGATCAGAATTCCCAGGTGAAGATTGTTCATAAGAAAAAAGAAAGAGGACCTGGTTATAACTCATCAGCAGCTGCTAGGCAGGCCACGCAGAATGGGGGAAAGAACAAAAATTTTCCAAATAATCAAAGTTGGAACTCTAGCTTATCAGGTCCCAGCTTACTTTTTAAATCTCAAGCTAATCAGAACTATGTTGGTGCCAGATTTAGTGAGCCGCCATCACCAAGTGTTCTTCCCAAGCCACCAAGCCACTGGGTCCCTGTTTCCTTTAATCCTTCAGACAAGGAAATAATGACATTTCAACTTAAAACCTTACTTAATGTACAGGTATAAAATAAGACAAAGTACTTAAGCTGAAATTTAGTTACGTTGATGGATAATTGTCAACTGGTGTGAAACAAATTCACCAGGGAGTTGATCTATTTGTGTAGAACTGCTAATTAATGTAAAAAATATAGACTGCATCTCACGTATGTGTTGTGTGCATTGTGATGTAATGGTAGTATCAGTGCAACTTAAAACTAAATTAATAATTGTACTTGATATTAAGTGTTCTCAACTGAGTAACTTTTAAGGGGAAACCAGCCAAGTTTAGATTTGGGGAGTGGTAAAGGAATCAGCTTTTTCTATTGTTAGGGGAAGATAGTAATTTATCATTCATGGACCAGATTGTTGTGTTGGTGAATCACATTATAAGCATCTAACACAAGGATTCAGAATTAGGTAAACATCTGCAAGTTTAGTATACTGGAAATACCCAAATCAGTAATATGCTAACAATCTGATGCACTGCTGAAAGAAAATGTGAATTTTTCTTAATAATTGTATTTTAGTGAATTATACAGTGGGTGGAAAGGGCATTTGGAGCTCATTAAACGAGAAATAGTACACCCCAATGGCCCTGTTTATTAAATGTAGGGGATTAAGTATCTGCCAACAAATACACCAAACCATTTTTTAACAGTATTTAATGGTCACTCAATAGCTTTCAAAATACATTTTTGAATTACAGCACTGCACAAGCTATTCTAATAGTGATCTGGCCTCATCATTCCTGCAAAGCTGGCTTTGGGGAGCTGCATAATGTGAAAATTTTAAGTACCTAGGGGAGAAAGAGCCATGTAAATACCTGTAATGAACTTGTAGCATATGTAATGTTTTCTTGGCCTTTATCTTACAAAAATGGGATATTTTAGTATGAATTTGCTGAATGTAAGATCGTGGACTGTTTTTTATAGTATGGCCTAGTTTTAAAGGTCCAAAATAATTTGTTTGTTTGTTTTTTTTTTTGAGACGGGAGTTTCGCTCTTGTTACCCAGGCTGGAGTGCAATGGCGCGATCTCGGCTCACTGCAACCTCTGCCTCCTGGGTTCAGGCAATTCTCCTGCCTCAGCCTCCTAAGTAACTGGGATTACAGGCACGCGCCACCACGCCCAGCTAGTTTTTTGTATTTTTAGTAGAGACGGGGTTTCACCATGTTGACCAGGATGGTCTCGATCTCTCGACCTCGTGATCCACCCGCCTCAGCCTCCCAAAGTGCTGGGATTACAGGCTTGAGCCACCATGCCCAGCCCAAAATAATTTGTTTTTAAAGTGTGCCCTTGTGCTGAAGTGCCAGTGTATGTATATTATACTTCATTTGATTGTAAACTATATTTCAAAGCAAATCCTAGTGTGATAAGTTTTATAACTAAAAAGGTTTAAGCTGCTAAAACTATTTTTAAGAGATGTGAAATGCAGTATGGGACTATATTTTTTTCCTCCTCTAAGCCCAAAGATTAACTAAAGGGTCCCTCTAATCTTACAGATTTTTGGCTTTCACAATTTTCTAACCTAGGATACAGGTGGTTTAGTGTAGGTGCGAGTGAGCTTTGCTTTTTCTTTGGTCAAGGGTGGGTGGCAATCCAACAGACTACTTATGCAAAAGACAAACTCCTGCATAATACATTGATAACATGTTTTGCCAACCTTAAGAGTAAATGCTTAAATATAAGTGAAAACAATAGCAAGTTTATTTATTTATTTTTTATTTTTTTTTAAGAAGGGGTTTCACCATGTTGGTCAGTCTGGTCTTGAACTCCCAACCTCAGGTGATCCGCCCGCCTTGGCCTCCAAAGTGTTTGGATTACAGGCGTGAGCCACTATGCCTGGCCAGCAAGTTTAAAAAGCATGTGGGTCAGTTAAAAAATTTTGTTAGGCCGGGCGCGGTGGCTCAAGCCTGTAATCCCAGCACTTTGGGAGGCCGAGGTGGGTGGATCACGAGGTCAAGAGATCGAGACCATCCTGGTCAACATGGTGAAACCCTGTCTCTACTAAAAATAATAAAAATTAGCTGGGCATGGTGGCGTGTGCCTGTAATCTCAGCTACTCAGGAGGCTGAGGCAGGAGAATTGCCTGAACCCAGGAGGCGGAGGTTGCAGTGAGCCGAGATCGCGCCATTGCACTCCAGCCTGGGCAACAAGAGCGAAACTCCGTCTCAAAAAAAAAAAAAAAAAAAAAAATTTTGTTGCCGGGCGCGGTGGCTCAAGCCTGTAATCCCAGCACCTTGGGAGGCCGAGGCGGGTGGATCACAAGGTCGAGAGATCGAGACCATCCTGGTCAACACGGTGAAACCCCGTCTCTACTAAAAATACAAAACATTAGCTGGGCATGGTGGCACATGCCTGTAATCCCAGCTACTCAGGAGGCTGAGGCAGGAGAATTGCCTGAACCCAGGAGGCGGAGGTTGTGGTGAGCCGAGATCGCGCCATTGCACTCCAGCCTGGGTAACAAGAGCGAAACTCCATCTCAAAAAAAAAAAAAAAAAAAAAAATTTTGTTAATGGCCTATTTTCTAATTGGCACCTCTTTTGATGCCTAAGCAGGAAAGCAGATGGCTAAGGTGTATTTCTCCAAATAAATCAATATGAAGTACTGCACAAGTTAAATATTGATAACCTAAAGACAAATTTATGTATATATGAATTTGAAGCATAAAATTAAATAAAATGGTTTCTCCCCAAGAAAAGAAAATGTGATATATATATATAAACTTTATATATATATAAATATATTTATATATTTTATTAATATACAAATATACATATATACAAATCTATAAATATATATATAAATATATACACATAAGCTTTTTTCTTCTAATATTATGGCATTATTTCATTCCCTTATACGTTTGAGTAGAATTTCATAATATATACGTATACCATGCAGCAACCTGGGTGGAGCAGCAACCTGGGTGGAGTTGGAGACCATTGCTGCAAATGAAGAAACTCAGGAATAGAAAACCAAACATTACATGTTCTCACTTGTAAGAGGGAGCTAAGCTTTGAGGATGCAAAGGCCTAAGAATGACATAATGGACTTTAGGGACTTGAGGGAAAGGGTGTGGGGGGAGTGATGAAGAAAATACTACATATTGGGTACAGTGTACACTGCTTGGGTGATGGGTGCATCAAAATCTCAAATCACCACTAAAGAACTTTTCCATGCAAACAAACACCCCGTTCCCCCAAAACTACCGAAATAAATAAAATTGAAAAAAATATAGTAATTATCACTAAAAAAGAGAAATGAGAATGGCTATATGTAAAAAAAATAGCCAGAGCAAGACTAAGCAAAATCGGAATTATCTTAGTATTGTGGTGGCTTACATTTAGTTTATGTTGTTAATGTTACGTATTACATTTGCAGAATAAAATGTTACTGCCTTTTTTCCCATTATGAGAACTTCTTTAGTTTTAGAAGAACTCAGTTTTGTTTAACTTTTGATCCACTTATGATAAGTAGTCTGAGGATGTTTGCAAGAAGCTCCCAGTGTTGCATGATGAAACAGTTGGTGTCTCATGCCATTTATTTAAGGTGTTTTGTTTACTTACTGGAGAAAATGTTTAATTATTGACAAATATTTATTGAACATCCACTCTGTGCCATGAACTCCTGTATCAGGTGCTAGATATACATTGATGAATGACACTGTGCTCCAGCCTGGGGGACAGAGTAAGACTGTCTCAAAAAAAATTACTAGATAATAGAATTCAAGAATTTATTACATATTACTACTTGGTGTAAATTCAAGATTCTTTGCGTCTAGTGGGCACGGGAGTAAGTTCTGTGAGTGCTAGGATGAACATTCAAATTGAGCACTCTTGGATTTGCCAACATTTAACAGCTTGCTCTTACTAATTTATTTTTAAATAAATGTGAGTATGTAAAGGTAATGTAAATTGTAATGTATATCTACAAATATCTGCTTTTCTCTGTTAAGGGTATCTGTAAGGCACAGCAAATCATTTATAATATGTGTCAGATATAAATAAAACAAAAGTAAATGAAGTCAGTGTTTTTCTCGGCTGGATCTAGTTTCTTATTTGACCTTTTAATGACACACATAAAATATTGCTTTATATAGTGTTGTTCCACACTATAGAAACTCCCATAATAGGTTTAAAATACCTTCTTAAAAAATGCCAACTTCATCTTTAATCTGAAACAAATCTGACTGTCCAAACAGATACGTTAATATGTAACATATGAATGCATTATGTACTGTGTAAAAATTTATAAGACATATTGTAAAAGATTTTAAAAATACTCATGTGCTCACTTTGTGCTATAACTTCTAACATTTTATCTCTGTGGTGGTGACTTACTTGCAAGAAATGAGAAGCGGCAGAGTGCAGGTGGAGACTGTGGTTGGATGGGTCGGCTAACCCCAGGGTCCTTTGAACTGATTTAGGCCACTTGCGTTGATCTCAGATTCACTGTCGCCATGGCCAGTCAGTTGCAGGAGATGTAGCAGGTGCTGAAGGCTGAGAAGAGGGCCACTGAGAAGGTGACGGAGGCCCACAAGCGAAAGAACAAGAGGCTGAAGCAGGCCAAGGAAGCACTTCAGGCTGAAATTGAACGGTGCTACCTGCGGAGAAAGAAAGAGTTCAAGGCTAAGGAAGCTGCAGCAATGGGACCTCACAGCAGTTGCAGCACTGAAGTGGATAAGGAGACCCAGAATAAAATGGCCATCCTCCAGACCTACTTCCAGCAGAACAGGGAAGAAGTCTTGAACAACCTCTTGGCTTTTGTCTGTGACATCCAGCCAGAAATCCATGAAAACGACTGCCTAGATGGATAGAAGAGAAGCACCTGTTCCATGGATTGGCATTTTAGACGACCTTGTGGAATAAATATCTAGCAAAGTTCTAGATAAATTCTTATGAGAAAGATGGTGGAACCCTCATGACCTAATCACCTCTTAAAGGTGCCTCTGACTACTTTTACAATGACAAATTTTACCTTGAGTTTTGGAGGGGATATTCAAACCATATCACATTTCCAACCCACGGCCTAGGCCTGACTTAGAGATCTGTGTGGTCTGAGAGCTTCTGATCAGCTGGTTGGTCCAGCATGCCCTAACCCCAGCTCCACTGAGCAGTTTCAGGGGTGAGTGAGGTCACCTTCCTTCCAAATGCTCATTCGAGCCCGTCTCTGAACGGTTTGTTCCTCCTGAGATTCAGAGGATGCGGGTCATTCTGGCTCCAGAAATGTTGAGCAAAGTCTTTCCTACAGTGGGATGTGACTGTGCCTGTGACTTCTCAGTGTGTAGAGGATGCTCAGCACCCGGCTCTCTCCTCCGCTTTGTCAGGCCCGTCATTACCACCCTTCCCTTCATCCCAAGTGCATCTGATTCTCTTTTTTTTTTTTTTTTTTTGAGACGGAGTTTCGCTCTTGTTACCCAGGCTGGAGTGCAATGGCGCGATCTCGGCTCACCACAACCTCCGCCTCCTGGGTTCAGGCAATTCTCCTGCCTCAGCCTCCTGAGTAGCTGGGATTACAGGCACGCGCCACCATGCCCAGCTAATTTTTTGTATTTTTAGTAGAGACGGGGTTTCACCATGTTGACCAGGATGGTCTCGATCTCTTGACTTCATGATCCACTTGCCTCGGCCTCCCAAAGTGCTGGGATTACAGGCGTGAGCTACCACGCCCAGCTGCATCTGATTCTCATGCCAAGACTTCAGTGAGCTTAGGAACACACAAGGATGATGACATTTAAAATGAACAAGTCCCACTTCATAAAAGTGGCAGAAGATCAGAGATCTTTAGGGGAGTTGTGTCCCCACTCTTGCGATTCAGGAAGCAACTCTAGGGACATCTTGCACTGGTCTGGCCCCCCCTTTCTCCCTTCGCTGTACCGGTGAGAGAAGGAGCCTATGCAGAGAACAGTTGTGTCATTGGTGCTTCAGCCCTGATCTTTTTCTCCACATCTTAATACAGATTAATATCTTTTAGTTGCTGTTAAGTTTCTTTGTGCATCCCTTGTCATTTGTATAAAGTAAATGATTTATAAAAATTAATAAAAAGTTAAATCTTTTTTTAATTGCTTTTTGTTTTTTGCTTTAAAAAAATTACACTTGAAGTTCTGGGGTACATGTACAGAACATGCAGTTTTGTTACATAGGTATACACGTGCCATGGTGGGATGTCAGGGCATATGTCTCAGGGCAACACTATTCACAATAGCAAAGACTTGGAACCAACTCAAATGTCCATCAATGATAGACTAGATAAAGAAAATGCGGCACATATACACCATAGAATGTTATGTAGCCATAAAAACGAATGAGTTCATGTCCTTTGCAGGGACATGGATGAAGCTGAAAACTGTCATTCTCAGCAAACTGACACAAGAAAGGAAAACTAAATACCACATGTTCTCACTCATAAGTGGTAGTTTAACAATGAGAACACATGGACACAGGGAGGGGAACATCACACATCAGGGGATGTTGAAGGGCGGAGGGGCTAGAGGAGGGATCACATTAGGAGAAATACCTAATGTAGGCACTGAGTTGATGGGTACAGCAAACCGCCATGGCATATGTATACCTGTGTAACAAAATCACACATTCTGCACATGTACCCCAGAACTTAAAGTATAAAATCAAACAAACAAAAAAGAAATGCAATCCCAAAATATAGCATACATTTTATTTCAGTTACATCTATGGATTAGTTTTATTTAAATGTCTATATTAGCTCTCACTATTCCGTTGTTTAAATAGAGCATTTAAAACCTTGTACTACAGTACTACAACTGCCTGGTGATACATTCGCCAGTGCAATTATAAACATAACCACCCTGCTGTTTTTCTCCATCCTCATAAAATTCCCCAAACAAATATTTGTTAAGAGTCCAAGGTGCATCATGCCAGAGCTCATGCAGCCATAGACACAACCTGTTTCATTTTTTATTCTGATCAACAGAATTATCTTTTTTCTTAAGCTTATTGTTTTTAGTTTGTTATATTCTAGATGTCATTACAGATCAATTTCTATCATTACACAATCATTACACAACAATATGGAATAATCTATATTATCTTTAAGCCACCCCCACAACACTCACTACTGAATTGAAACCATAATTTTTCCCTGGAAATCCTAGTTGGGGTGCTCAATACTAAGAGCTACCATGTATCAGGCTAACCTGAGGACAGACTCTGGTCAAACCAAGTTAAAGTTTTAATTCTTCCCATCTTCAAAGACTGAGCATCTCTGCTCTTTTTGCTCATGAGAGAAAAATTTCAAAGTCATTTGCCAGGATCCCCTGCAGACTGGCATTCAGTGCTTGGAGAACAGACTCCCAGGCAAGATCCCTGGTCACAGTATTCAAATAATTATGACTGTAAATCTGGGGAAGTAGAGAGAGAACACAGATTTACCAGAAAAACGCTCTGGGAATTCCTCCCCAGGGAATCCGAGAGGGAAGACTCCCTTTCTCTTCAGCGCTGCAAGATCCATGGAGGAAGGAGAACTCTGGCCATCAGGAAGGAGCCAAATGAGAGGAGAGGACTTGGTGTCAAGCACGCATGGGAAGTGAGACCGTGGTGTGGGTCTCTGTGATGGCTTGATCCTGACATAAGAGAACTTTCTGTTGACACCACCTGAGTCCTCTACAATGAAAAGTTGAAGAGCCATGGACAGATTGACTTCTGAGGAGCCCAGCAGAGTGTGAAGACTGCCTCGAGGTTACAGGGAGAAGACACAGGCACCCCTGGGACTGTCTGATAGAATTCAAATGTGAATCCGTTTGGTCCTGGACTTTTCTTGATTGACATTCTATTATTATTATTTTCATTTCAATCTCACTACTTGTTATTGGTCTGTTCAGAGTTTCTACGTCTTCCTGGTTTAATCTAGGAGGACTGCATATATTCAAAAATTTATCCGTCTCCTCTAGGTTTTTTAGTTTATGTGCACAGAGGCATTCACAGTAACCTTGTATAATCTTTTGTATTTCTGTGGTATCAGTAGTAACATCTCCTGTTTCATTTCTATTAGAGCTTATATGGATCTTTACTCTTCTTTTCTTGGTTAATCTATTCGTTTTATTTATTTTTTCAAATGATTTTTGTTTCATTTATCTTTTGTATTGTTCTGTGTTTCAATTTTATTTAGTTTTGGTCTGATCTTTGTATTTCTTTTCTTCTGCAGGGTTTGGATTTGCATTGTTCTTGCTTCTCCAGTTACGTGAGGTCTGACCTTAGATTGTCTATTTGTGTTTTTTTAGACTTTTTGATATATGTGTTTAATGCTAAACTTTCCTCTTAGCACTGCATTTGCTGTATCCTAGAGGTTTTAATAGGTGGTATCAAGATTTAGTGCAACTGCAACCTTTGCAACCTTACTATTGACTAACAGCTTTTTTTTTTTTAAGACGTAATCTCACTTTGTCACTCAGGCAGGAGTGCAATGGTGTGATCTCAGCTCACTGCAACCTCCACCTCCTGAGTTCAAGCGATTCTCCTGCCTCAGCCTCCCGAGTAGCTGGGACTACAGGCGTGTGCCACCATGCCTGGCTAATCTTGCTTTTTTTTTTTTTTTTTTTTTTCAGTAGAGATGGAGTTTCACTGTGTTAATCAGGATGGTCTCGATCTCCTGACCTTGTGATCCACCTGGTTCAGCCTCCCAAAGTGTTGGGATTACAGGCATGAGCCACCACGCCCTGGAACTAACAGTTTTTTAATTCCTGAGAGTGTGACCTCATTTTATTCTGACAACAGCTTTGTGATTGCTTTTCATGTAGTGGGCCCTGATTGGTGAGGGAGTGCTCATTGCCTGGAGGTAGGATTCTGCCATTTACCAAATAAAACACTGGAGGTCAGTTAAATTTGAATTCAGGCCGGGCACGGTGGCTCAAGCCTGTAATCCCAGCACTTTGGGAGGCCGAGGCGGGTGGATCACGAGGTCAAGAGATCGAAACCATCCTGGTCAACATAGTGAAACCCCATCTCTACTAAAAACACAAAAAATTAGCTGGGCATGGTGGTGCGTGCCTGTAATCCCAGCTACTCAGGAGGCTGAGGCAGGAGAATTGCCTGAGCCCAGGAGGCGGAGGTTGCGGTGAGCCGAGATCGCGCCATTGCACTCCAGCCTGGGTAACAAGAGCGAAACTCCGTCTCAAAAAAAAAAAAAAAAATTTGAATTCAGTAATACATAAAAAAAAAAAAAAACCAGTATGTGTACCTCACACAGGATATTTTTTTATTTGAAATACAAACTTACCTGGGAGCCCTATAGTTTATCTGCCAACTCCTCACAGGGTTCAAAGCCTGAAAGAGGCAGAGTTGGGGCTGGCTTCCTCTTCCTGCGCCAGGACTAGGAGCTGAGCCTCGAAGGCAGAGCTTCTGTGACACAGCTATCTTCAAGTGAGCGTGTCCATCAGCGCTCAACACGGGGTACATGATTCCCAGCCAATAATGCCTTATCCCTTCCCTAATTCTTCTTTTTATTCTTCTTCAAGTATGCAGACTCCAGACCTCTCAAGGGGTTGTTGAAGCCAGAGTTCACAGTGATGGACGCGTATGTCTTTTAAAATCAGATGCAAGGGGGCTCCTTGGTCCTCATACAGCGGGGTTTTCGCCAGAGGTAAATAAGTAACATGCAAGAGAGAGAAGAACTCAGCCTGGCTCTCCCTCTGTCAAATGAGAGACCAAACTCCAGGGTCCTTTTGATGCTGAAGGTGGGTGGACTGAGAGCAGTGGGAGACCCACCCTGAGAGCCCAGAGCATCCAGGACAGAACATGGGAGCCTGAAAAGGGGCCACATTCTTGAGTGGGGAAGAAGGAGGCACCTCTGGGCACAGACCTGCATTTCTGGTGGCTTCTCCTTCACCAAACTGGGCTCCCTGCTCTGGTGCCTATCAGACAATCTCTTTCAGTGAGACCAACATCCCAGGACTTTACTAAAAATAGCAGCATGGAGCAGACAGGTATGTCATGATACAGGAATTCTGTGCAGAGCAGTAAGTACAAATGCAGCTTAACAAGGGCCATCACAGTCGGATCATTGGTGAAGGAGAAAACAGACAAAGGCAAGGAGAAACTGAAGGACTCAGCTGGTCTAACGCTGGGGCAGCACTGAGTGCTACAGGCTTGTCCTTGAGGGGTCTGCAGATAAGGATAGCTGGAAAGCCATCCTGCTGTGACCTGCATTATCTGTGCACTGCTCACTGGGCTCAGCAGCTGTGTCATCACAGGGAACCAGAGTCAGCCAGCTTGGCCTTCTCCACCCAACCTGGGAAATGTTTTCCAGTGACTGTCTGGACTGAGGTTCTAGAAAGGGGCTGGAAGACAAGAAGAGGGGGCTGATTTGCATGAAGAAACCATTGCACACATGCTTTCATCTAAAACCCAGTAATGGAAACTCTGGAGACATCCATAAAAGTCTAGCTGGTCTCCTAAATTTGGGAGTTATGAAGGGTTCATTCCTGATCAATCTACGGGAAGAGGGGCCACAGGCAGCAGGGCATCATAGTGAGGGAGAAACTGGCTTGAGAGACTCATCAACACAGCCGCCAGCTCTGGGACAAATGGAGTCATTTGCTATAAGTCACCCCAAGCTACTCACAGGAGACTGAGCCTAGTCCTCTAACCTTGTTGCTTCTGATCCTGGTCCATGACTCTGTTGTCCCTGAACCCCTTGCCCATGTATGAGTCCAGGGTAGCAGGGGGAGCTCCATCTTAGTCAACATCTATAAAGAAGTAACAGCTACTATGCCTTGAAGCAGAGAAAGAAAAAAAGAAAAGAAAAGAAAGAAGAGAGAAAATCTCTTATATTTAAATAAGCAAACAGGAAACAACCCCAAACAAAATTAGGAATCACACCCATTAGAACAGCTTTACCAAAATAATAGAAAATAAGAAGTTCTACCAAAGATGTAACTCATGGAAAACTGTGACATTCGATAATATAATTTGTGTACAGAAAAATAATACAGATTAAAATAATTCAAGAGAAGAGGCACACGGGCAGAGATCAGGAGAATTTCAGGAGCAAGAATCCAGCTGTCCTCTCCCAGTGGAGTAATCGGCAATGCTGCATTCTCCTGTCAACAATGTGTGACTCTATGTATGAAGCATTGCCAGCCAGGAAAGCTCGCCCAGGCTTGGTGTCTAGAGGATTTTTGAGTGCTGGGGTGGGTGAGAGCGGGGTGGTTATGTAGACCTTGCTGATCAACCTCATGGCTCATTGAGTTTCCACTGAATTGACAATAAAACTTCAACCTTTGATCATTTTCTGTTTAAAAATTATCTAAAATAAATTATTTAAAGAATTATCACTTAAACCAGCTGTTTATCCAATATGAGGTTCAAAACAAATAGTTTCAAAAAGTCAGTAAGTCATTAAAACATTTTTTAGTCATTTAAAACAATCAGATAACAACACCATATAACATTTAAGTCGCATTATAGTCACAGGGGCAGGATTTCAGCAACAGCAAGAGAAAGTAATACACATAGGAATGAGCAAAGAGTAGATAAATCATGGGTATGAATTGGCCTGGGATATCTTATGGCAGTGTCAAAATAGAAATCAATTGTGATTTGTTTAATAAGTGAAAACTACGAATTCTCAGTGCAGGAAAGCCACCAGGGGGCCCTCTGGGTCTCTTGGATTTTAAGAAGCTCAAGAGGCTGAGAGTTAACGAACCCTGCACAGTTGCTCACTGACTCATATAAATGTTAGAGCAGCTGCTTCCTCCCACAGGGCAAATCCACAGCGCACAGCCACCCTGGGCTGGCCTCTCACAGTGTAGCTGCTCTCGGGGCTGAGACCTAGGTGGAGGTAAAGGTAGTAAAGATTTGCATAAAGCAGCACACAACACACCCACTCCATGCAGAGAGCTCAGCAGGAGATAAAGAGCCATCAGAATCCAGCCCCAGCTCTGGAGCCAAGGGTCCCTTCCAGTATCAGCACCATGGCCTGGACTCCTCTCTTTCTCTTGTTTCTCTCCACTTGCTACCCAGGTTAAGAGAGATTTCAAATACCAGACTTTGGAGGGATCGCTTTTTCTCCCTTTTAATTCCTAATGTGTCTGTTTTTTGTTTCAGGGTCCAACTCCCAGGCTGTGGTGACTCAGGAGCCCTCACTGACTGTGTCCCCAGGAGGGACAGTCACTCTCACCTGTGCTTCCAGCACTGGAACAGTCACCAGTAGTAATTATCCCTGCTGGATCCAGCAAAAACCTGGCCAAGCCCCAAGAACACTGATTTATAATACAAACAGCAAATACTCCTGGACCCCCGCCCGGTTCTCAGGCTCCCTCCTTGGGGGCAAAGCTGCCCTGACCCTCTCAGGTGCACAGCCTGAGGATGAGGCTGAGTATTACTGCTTACTGTACTATAGTGGTGCTCGGCACAGTGACAGACTCAGAAGAGGAACCAAGACATAAACCTCCCTCGGCCCTTGAGATGTAAAGATCACATGATCACACACACCAGCTCTCAAGGCAGCCTACACGTGGACCAGCCATCGAAAGGGGAAGGGAAGGGTCTGAATTGATTGCTATCCCTGCTTAAGCCCTGAAGTGGAAGAAATGTTTGAATGATCTGGGAATAACTCGATCAAAAAAAGCAAAAGTTAATTATTTTATATTTTATGAAGAACACCAACAGCTGGATCAGATCTAAAGGCTGAGTCTAAATGTATTTCCTCCAGAAAGAAGCATCTTTAATGCATGGGATTTTTGAGATAGGAGCAATGGGAAGAAGCTGCTGCTTCTTTTTTTTCTTTTTTTGGTATATTTCTGAAGTTTGCTTTATTGAGTTACTTTCAAAGCAATACATGCCAATTATATAAAATAAAAATATTACAAACCACCAAGTTCACTGCAAGTCTACCTTATCCCAAACAATCAACATAAGTACATTTCTTCCTGTGGATGCATTCTTTCATTTTTGCTCTTAATAGTTTCACAATGGTGATCATATTTTGTGCTTTTCCCTCTGGTTTGATGCATCTTTATGCTCCTATGTCATTTAAGGTTAATATAAGCGGTGTTTTATTTCTTAAAAATGATAAAATATTTGAATATTTTAAAATTTTATTTTGATTTGAGTACCAATGAAAAAATATAATTTTGTAGATAATTCCAATGGTTTTCTTATCAGACAAAAGCATGATACTGTGTTATTACTAAAAAACACCAGATTATTTCTGTGGATTTAGTGAAGTGAGGGAAAATGCCTGCAATTTTCAGTGGAAAGCCGTGAGTACATTATGCCTGACTTCAGAATGCATAACATAGACGAACAAGAGTTTCCAGCTCATGTTTGCTGGAGCATAATAGGTTCAGTTATGAGGAACAATTTATATGCAAAACTGTCTTCACGTGTGTGTTAGAACACTCCATCGCAAACTCAATTGTTTATCCCCATCCCCACAAATTATCTGGGATCCTACAAAATGCAGATTCTGATTGAATAGGTATGAAACGATGATGCAGTCTCTGCATTTCCAAAATCTTCCTGCCACAGAAAATCCACATATGTATTTTAATAATAACAAGTCCAGCCAGGAGTGGAGGCTCATGTGTGTAATCCTAGCACTTTGAGAGGCTGAGGCAGAAAGATTACTTGAGGCCAAAAGTTTGAGACTAACAATGATTAAAAGAGCAAGATCTTTTCTCTGCAGTTAATAATAATAATAATAATAATAATAATAATAATAAAGGAATTAGCCGGGCCTTGCTCTGCATGTTTGTAACAAGGAGCCCGAGGCAGGAGAAGAGCTTTAGTCTAGGAGTTAAAAGCTGCAGTGAGCTATGATCATGCCACTGCACTCCAGCCTGGGTGGCAGAGTGAGACCTTGTCTCCAATAACAGTAACAAGTCCAAAGGAATAGTATAAAATAAAGAGAATCCTTGGCAGATGAGAACTTAGGAAAAATCTCTGACATAGGAAACTAATGAGCTTGAACGACAGAAGAACCCCGCACTTCATGCAGTGAGATGACCAGGGAGGACAGCTGCAAAGCTGGGAGAGGCTCCCCTTTTCTTTCAGAACAAAATCAAAAGCAAACAAACAGCAAACCTGACCTCCCCTCTGGCTCCTGTCCAACGCTCTTACTGTCTTCTCTTCCATTCGTTTCTACAGTGCGGCCCATCCTTACTCTCTCCCCCACCACATCTCTGATTCCTGAATTCCCTTCTTGAGTCTCTCATTTTTTCCTACCACTTCTCCCCTCTAACTTCCTGAGTTAATTGTTAAGGGCTTTATAACAGAAAACTCATTGCATTTTTCTAGATCTGCCCTTGAAAGTTGACACTCATATTTTTTTCTTTTTCTTGAACTTCTCTGATTATCTTTAGTTCTGAAGAAGCCCAAAGTTGGCTGATTCTTTTTTTTTCACCTAGGCCAGCACCTTCTCCTTCTCCTCCCTGGGGTTCTCTGTATTTCCAGTGAATTTAGTGAACCACATAAATACAATAATCAATTATTTCCAACCCTCACCACTCTGTCTTATGTGCTGATCTAGCGAGGAACTAAATAGAAAGACCCATGGATTTCTGTGTAGCCTGGGAAGGGAGTTCATGGCTGGACTCAGCTGCAACACCAGATACCTGACTGCCTGTTGACGTCTAGTGTTCACAGGGCTGTGCAGCAGCTGTGTCCACCCAGGCTGCCTTGAGAGTCACTGGCCATGCTCTCCTACCTCCCACTCACCCCTCCTCAAGAACGAGCAGACTCGGCATCTTGTGTGAGAGGCAGAGCCAGGGGTCAGGACAGATTTGCACTGAGTCCCCTCCTCTAAGAGAGGCCAGGAAAGAGAGGCTGTTCCCCACAGTCTGTGCGGCCCAGGAAGCAGAGATCTAGGGGCATGTCTGCCATGGCACAGACCACCTCCTCCTCACCCTCCTCAGGTTGCACAGGTGGCTGGGGACAGAGAGACAGGGATTGGCACTAAGAGAACCAGAGCTGTGCTTTGCTTCACTGGCTCACTGAGCTACCATCCTCACCCTGTGTCTCTCTCTTGACTCTCACAGTACTGGGCAATCAGGGCTCATTTGGTAGCCTGCAGAGTCTGTCTGTGGCTAAACCAATCTCCATATTCTGGACTGAAAGCTGCAGCAATTATGTTCTTGGAATTGTGTCCTGGTACCAACAATAACCAGAAGTACCTTTAGGGATCCCAGATGGATGCTCAGAATACCAGTCTGGCAAGAAAGCCTTGCTAAGCATCTCTAGGCTCCAGGCTGAGGACAAGGCTGATCTCTCCTGTGGGCGTCAGACAGCCCCCTGGAAATTCAAATGGTGCTAAAGTCTGGGGAAGTGAGATGGGAACACGCCAGGTCTCCTAGGAGCATGACCTACCAACAGCACCACCCACAACCAGGATAGCAGGTCTGTTTATCGTTTGTATGGATGTTTGCTGGTGCTGCTGCTAACCAGGGCCCATAGCTCAGCTCAGGGACAGTGATCTAGAGAATACAGCATTGTTCTCTCAGAGCCAGCCACAGAGGAAGCCTTAGCAACAGCATTGTCAGACTGCCTGAAAAGAATCAGAAAGTCTTTAATTCCAGGTACAGGCTGTCCTGCGGACAGACACAAGATGACTCAGGGAAAGCAGGGACAGAATCCACCTAGGTCTGTCTCAGGCATGTGTACTAATGCAAAGGTCTGTTCATCCTTATTATCTACTAAACACCTACTATGTGCCAGGCTCAGGGGAGGGCTCGGGATACAGAGTTTACAATGCAGGCAGGGTTTCTGCCTTTGCAGGGCTGATGCCACACAGAAGACTGAGCACCAACAAGTCAATGGGAATACGGCATATTGTGATGTATTTAAGAGGTGACATGGGCCAGAAGAGGGTGAGCAACAGGAAGCCATTAAGAGGTCATAAGCAAGGAAGACACAGACTCTAATTTAAGATTCAGGAGGAAAAGTTCAGCTTGTCTAAGAAATATGAAAAAGGAGGAGACAGAGTGAAGGCAGAGGGTCCAGTTAGGAGATGGTGGCTTTGTACACATGGGATATGAGGTCTCTGCCAAGTTATGTGGCAGCTGAGCTGGGAGCAATGCGTGTGACCCACACCATGGTGAGAAGAACTAAAGGAAAGAGGTCACTAGGTTGAGCTTGTCCTTGTGATGGAAACCTGACAAACAGCCTGCAGCTGTGATCCAGTGTGTCACATTTCTTTCTGGAAAGCTCATAGGACTCAAGAATTATTGCTGCCCTTCACATTCAGTAAGACTTATGTGAACCATTACTTTTCACACCTGGGAAGCCACCTGGTTATTTTCTTTTGAGCAAAACCACTAAGGGTCTGGACAGAGCAGTGTAAAGCACATGGGATGATGCCCTACACACTCAAGGGGCTGCTGTTAACGCTCACAATCAAACCTCCCCAGAGCTCTGTCAGAAGCCATGAGAGGGGAGGTGTCAGTGCTGAAGTAGCTGATTTGGGGGTGCACTGCTTTGCAGTGTATGCAGGTGCAGGAGAGTGAGGGCTGAGGCTCAGCACAGGCAAGAGGCTCCCAAGGTGTCACAATGGGGCAGGTGCTTATGAACTGCTCCGTGATAGGTGTGGGTAAATGTCAATTAAAAAGCTAGAGTAGTGGAAAGAAAGAATTCTGTGTCTGGGCAAGGAAGGAAGGTCCAGCCCCCGCCCAGGCATCTTTATCTACCCATCTCTTTACTTTCATTCCTCCCCGCCTTTTTTTCAGGGGAGGCTTTCAGGGCTGTGGTGTCTCTGGGGCTCTTTCTCCATCACAAACAGAGCAGTAGGGAGGTTACCTGAAGACAAAGTTGTCTCGCCACACTCAGCTGTCTGGTTACCCTTAGGAATTCCTCTGAAGGGCGGGAATGTTCTGTTTTACTTCTGACCTGCAGTAAGAGCCCAGCCACGAGTGAGGCAAGAAGAATGACAACATTCTGTTTACACAGGATTATTTATAACACATATAGTCAAATAACATCATCAAGTTCTGAACAAGTCAATCCATTCTTCAGAATTATAGAAATAGATGTCTCTCAACTGTCAGCAAAGGGCTTTAAACCCCCCTTTCTTCCATGGTCACATGAAGATGTATTTTCACAGTTAGTGACTCTATTCAATGTGTTTCCCCTGCTGTGATTTAAGCTCCATGAGATCGTTCATTGTTGTAGCTGTTGCTGTTTTCTGTCATGTCACTGCCGTAGCTACAGAGCATAGAGCAGTGCCGGGCACTAAGGACACACTCAGTTCACCTACATTGCAGTCACAGGAAGAGGTACAGATCTGAAGTCAAGATAATAATTTTTTTTTTAAGTTCTGGATTTTTTGTGTTTGAGGTTTCATATTCATTCAATAGAAGATATTAAATAAGAACTTTTGCCTTTGAGTTTGGGTAGAAGAAGGATGTGGATATGGAAATATGTATATATCACACATACTTCCCCACGGCCTAGA